CAGTAACAACTATTATTCAGNGTAAAGCCAAAGAAGTAGTAAACGTTAAAAGATGATTTTTGACCTTTGGAATTTGTTGATCAAATATAATTGACAAAATCACAACATGAAAACATACTAAACTATTGTTAACTCATTGATTCCTCATTTCTTGTAACATTCACTTCCGCCTTATTATGACTTGAAAAATTTTGCCGTGTATGAACTATTTTTAGTTTTGCTTAATTTAATATATTAAACGTTGAAATCATTAAAGAAATGAGCAAAAAATTAAAAGCTAACAAAAATTGAAAATATAAGCAAAAAGAAACAACGAAGTCGAAATTAAAAACTGCTTTTTTTTCCACAATCAATACATATATTCATCAAATATCTAAAGAAATCTCAGGAAAAAATCCCAGAAAAAATAATACCAGGAAAAAATCGCATAGGAAATACTTTAAATTTATGTTGTGATATTAAGTAATGAGGAAATAAATGATTCTCTATTGATCAAAAGCAATTTGTATTCAAAGCAGTTATGAAATAAGAATTGAAAGGAACTAAGTTACCTTTAAAAATGGTTTACCACTAGCTGTCTTATATGTTATCCGTGGAGTAAAATTTATATCGCTAGGTTCGATATGTTGCATAGGTAGAACCATTGATAGTTGAGGAGATTCACTGTAAAATAAATTATTTTTCATTGAAAAGAAAATTAAATTAAAAAGGAATTTTCTTCTAAAATTAATAAAGTCCAATCATTGCACGTTTTCTTTTTGAATAGAAATATAAAATAATTTATGATAAAATAAATCAATGGTAGCTATCAAATGTTTGATTATATACAAATTACAAAATCAATTATTACAATTAAATGGTATTTAAATATGTTGATAATAAAAAGTGTGAGAAAATATGATACTATCGGATTATCAAAATTGAATTTATATTTAAATGAAATTTCGACAATATCTACCAGATGGGTTGATGAAATTTTGCAAGTAAAATTAATGCAATGAAGAGGATATAAGCTAACAATGAGAGGAATATCACGATAATATCTCAATATCTATCCGTGGTCACACAATAGGCTATGCTAATGGGCAGAGCCACACCATAGCTCCTCCTCTAACCTTACATATATACATATTATATACAATGTATTTTTTATATATATACAAAGTATATAATAATATATAAATAAAATATAATATATATATATATATATATATATATATATATGAAAAAAGTCTTGCAATTCTTATAGTCATTTATTACAATCGAGATTACAACATCCTCTTCGCCTATCTGTCACCATTGGATAACGAGCTACAGTACTCCTTCCTTCCGCTAAATAAATATCTTCTTTGCAGCATATACCCAGCTATCTCAATCATTACATAACCTATCAAAAAATCGACAATCAAACTATTATCAAACACAACGACGAGGAATTTTTTAGTTGATATCATATTATTTGCTTATTGTATAACTCATTTATTACTGCTTATCAGTTTATCGGATACTTTTGCTGTCGTTAACTGGTAATATTATGCAAGAGCAACGTTATATTTCGGATAAGCCTATATCGCTGATAAATGAATTCAACAAATTAGCTTTTCCGATAATCGGTAAATATTATGAAGAAAAAAAATGAATATTGATACATGAAATAAAAGTCATATTTCAATTCTATTGTAATATGCAGTTATTTATTTTAAGTATTATTATTGTTTTGGATAGGGGAAAACGCTAGCAAACATTTCGAAACAATTATAGAAAGGAATACTTGGTGTTAGGATTATGTCATCTTATCATGGATTTATACTGTCATTCCTCGGATGATTACAGTGTTATCATTTTGGGAGAGGAACGAAATCAACAAAAATATTTGACGAATTTTTAAATCTGAATTGCCTCTGGACATTCAAATGCGATAGCAATTTCAACAAATGCGTTGCTAACTAAAGCCCTCAGGCAATTTTATGACAAGTTTGTGATTGCGTGACTGAAATAATAAAGAATCGGTTAAGCAAATTTTAAAAAAGTGTATCATTCCAATTTAAAATTAGTAGCTTTCCAGAAAATTAGAACAGTCCAAGAGTTCAGCCAAAAAATTTAATTGGAGTTTAACAGCACAAACGACAGTTCAGTAGTTGACAATGATTTTTCAAGATTCAAGATTGTAAATGTTATCTGATCGATGCATTTATGTAAGCATTTCCGGGAGATTAAAATAGTATCATTTTAGGAAACAAAATCTGCAAAAAAAAAAATTGAATTTTTTGAAAATTTTGAAAATTAAGTTGACAATGGTGGAGCGGAAGGAAAAAAAAGTACAGGAAGAAAGTACAACAACGTAGTGAACATTCAGAGGACTGTTGTCATTCTAAATATTTCGTGTGTGTTTTTCATTTCCTCTCTAATATTGTATAAGCACAATGTTGTACAATATTGTATAAGACTATTAAAGTACTGTCGACGAAGTGTAGTAACAGCAACAAGAAGAATATATTGCAGGATCTTTCCTTGACAGATTTCGAAAAATTTCATTTTGAAATTTAAAAAAGAAAAGTGCAGGAATAAACCAAATAAATTCTTATATAATAATAATTTTTGTAACGAAGTAATTTTGAAATTCTCCATTTAAAAAACGTAAAGGTGATAATTTCCTGAAAAGGTGATAATTAAAAGGTGATAATTTTATTTTGCAATTATAAATTAAAGCTATGAAATAGCTAACATTTGAATAAATAATCTGAAATATCGAATAGCTTCAACATTATAATTGGAATAATATAATGCATTACTTTTAAGTGGATATGCTATGGTTACTGAAAAAACACTTATATAATTTGAAGAGAGAGAAAATGAAATGTGTTTGGGGAATTGTATTTAGATTTTATTTGCACTTCAATTGGTTTTAAAAAAGTTTTTGAAAAAGAAAAAATTGAAATTAAGGCATTTTTTTTACAATTATAGCATAACAATAAATAGGTATATTCACTGAATAGTTGTTGATTATCTAACGATTGGTATTTTATACGGATAATCGTTAATACCAAAGTATTGTTTGATTAGTTAATGATAAGTATTTTGTATGAATAACTACTGATAATTTTGTTTGGGTAAATACCAATGATTTTATTTGATTAGCTAATGATGAGTAATGCTCAGGTAGATAACGACAGAAATTATTTGACTAGTTATTGATTGAATAAATATTGGTAGATACTACTAATTGACCATAAATTGTCAGTTATAATAAGAGTTCAAACTAAACAACGATGGAATGCTTAGTCTTAGTTTAAAAAAGATATCAAAAAAGTTATTAAGACGAGAGGCATATTATGT